TCACAGACACACACTGGAACACAGAGATACAGACACACACTGAACACAGAAATACAGACACTGTTAGTCACAAACAAGTGCTGGTCTCCACACTGGGAATAATATGTCAGTACAGTTGGTGCTCTCAGTCGGCAGATTTTTACACTGTAGGCATACGTGATTTAAGGAGAGGAGCTTGCTTCACAGCATCTGAAGAGATAGAAGAGGAATTTCATTTTATAATAGTCACATTTATCGTCACCTTATTTTATACTGAAGTTTATACTAATTTGTAGTTAATTTCAGGATTCCACTGTCTCCACTGCAGTGGGGATCACGGTCTCATTTATTATGTAGAGCAGTGACTGTAAGACTGGTGTCTCTGAATATAAGATTGACAAATCACAGGACACCCTGGGTATTTGGTCCATGAGCCATTGCGAGAGAGAAGTAAGCAGTCTACTGTCCATAGCAATGAAAAATATTTCATAATTAAAAAAACATCATTTATACAGTTATTTTCATTAATCATTCACACGAGTGACAGTTACGGCTGCTCTCACACTGCCTGAGTGACCAGTAACCAGTATTGCTGACTGAAAACTGAGGTGTCCTCACTGGACCACCGGACTATTCTCTGGACAATAGCTGGAAAGTGAGAGATGACCTGTCACACTCCATGATGAACACATGCTCACACTAGGCCAGCAATAAAAATGCCCAGGTCACTGAATGCCTGAACACCTGAACTAAGTCAAATGAAGCAGCCTGACTGTGAACAAACAGGGTGCCGAAGGTGACCAGTGTTAAAATGGGAAATTTAAACTTCAATGTCTTCTGGTCTCTGTTCACTGTTGCTGTTCATTCACACTGCTGAAACTTTCAACACTGAACTATTTAGCTCTTCTGCAGTACACAGGCCATGTAACTCCTGATTTTGGCCATTGACAATAAAGGAGACAGAAACACAGAAAGAACAGTGTGAAATTGAAATATAAAAAACAGTTAGGTGGCATCGTTGTTCATCATCATCATTGTCCCTGACTTTCTGTGTTCTGTGAAGTCTAACTTCTCACACAGAAGGAGTGACACTTGAAACCATTCTAATCGTCACATCACAATGCTGGCTCACCTGATCAGAGAATTAATCCAGATATTGTTTATTATAGTAGTAATGTAATATGTGGCAGATAAGCTCTATTTAAATAAATCCCAGTATATTACTGTGTTTTCAACATACTGTAGTGTGGGTCACTGCCTTTTGAAAACTGACTACAAATGTTCAATAAACTGCAGCTAATCCTATTTGAAGTTCTTACCAATTTCAGCTTTAATGAGAGGAATTCCTGTAATAAGACATTAATAAGACAATAAAGCACCATTACATAAATCCATACATAATTACAATAATAAAATATAACAATATTACATTTACTATAATCTCATTATTAAATTATTATTGCTTTCAATGTGTATTCAAAATAAACAAATGCTTGCAATACTTATATTTTCCTTAATTTGACAACTGTATTAATATTTATTAATAAATTCCTGCAGAACAACTAATACAATCACACTAATATACTTACCATTTAGTGCATTAATATAACATAATTCAGATTCCAACAATGTATCCAGATCTGTAAGAAACAGAGTCCGTAACACTGATACAACACTGGCTTTTAAAGAGTCACACTCATAAAATAAAATTCTGATTCCCTCAGTGCCTCTCCTCTATAAGAAACAGACAGTGATGTTAGTAACATTGATAGAGGCTCCTCTTTGGACAATTAAACATAAAACCTGATGTTTCCATTTCTAACTCTGATTTCATGTACTGAATTCTCTCTTGCCTATAGATGTGATAGGACAACTCCTTAGCGACTTCAGACGGTCTCACCTGTACTGGATAAAGTTCGCAATGAGACTCATCTGAAGAGAGAGAGGTGCTGTAATACTGGAGGGGCTGGTTCTGGAAGGAAACTGATCGGGGTCGGTACTGGTTGTGTTTGATAGAAACACATCCCACAACAGCCCATTTTCAAATAATTGCCTGGGATCTACAGTTTTCACAACGCATTTGTACCCTGATTCTGATGCAACATACTCAAGAGTAGGTTGTCTTGTTCTCCTCATATCCTAGCACAGACAATTATGTATATAATGACCACATACTGTCCATTCTTTTCCACTGGATCACCAGAAGTACAGATGCTACTACAATCACAGCTGCTGTTACACAGAGAGCCACCATCCACCCAGAGGGTCCAGGGAAAAAGTCTCCTGGAAAACAGCGCAGGAATATTATGCCACAGGAACGGACACCTAGACCATGATCTTGTCATTTGGGTCGAACAAATGGTAGCCATAGCCTGGATAATGTTCCGGGTAAGGGATTTGAATGTGACTTGTAAATACCTGTAGCTATACTTGTTTCATATTTATTCAATCTTATTTGGGTAATAACAGAATAGGTTTAGACTAGTTTAACAATTTGACATAGCTAGAATCATGGAGCAGGTCCAAAACCATATAATAAAGGAAATACATACCACTTACAGTAAAAGATAAGGTGGCAGACTGATCTGGATAATGATCTAGTCTAAGGAAACTGAACCTAGGTTTTAAGTATTTTAAGGTATCCATCGGACTGAAGCAGTCTCTTTTGGCCAACTTTTTGTAACTAGATAAGACCTTATAGCTTAGCACGATATATCAATAATAGACCATTATCTGAAAGACCATGAGTGTCAGCACTTCGCCAAGATCAATGGGTGGTTCAAGTGTGATAATCTTGGCAGAATTGTCTAGTCAGTGCAGAACAACTTCTAGTTCAACTAAAGCAAACACAAAAATGAAAATTGTCAAGAACATATTCCGTACTCACTGGATATGTGGATCTGAGATTCCCAGTCTCCCTTGGGCTGTGTGCTTCTGACCAGACAGGAGAAGATGTTGGACTCCTGCTGGACTGGGATGTAGCTGCTGACACTGAGGTGCCCTTGACTGTCCCTCTCCACTGTGGTGCTGGACAGTGAGGTCACATCATGTCCATCCCTGTCTGTCCAGATCACTGCAGGTGAAGGGAACCAGCCCTCTGACCTGCACAGCAGCTGGGTCTGACCTCCTCCAGGGGAGTGGAGAGACACTGAAACAGCTGCCAATAAGGAAAACAACTTGATACACTGCCAACTTGATATTCAGATTTATTTTTGTGACAATAAATGTTTTGTCATCATTCCACTGTTTCCAGTGTTGGAACACCTGTGGCCTGCAGGCTTCATGTAAAATTAATGAGAGACAGGTCCCCTTGTCCCTTAATCACTCCAGACTGTTATTTACCACGATAGCACTGCAGCGTGTTAGGTCCCTTAAGCTATTCTACTGATCCAACCAACGGGCTGAATTCCAAGAGAAACTCGCTGAACTGGAGCAGAACTGTGTGGTCTGTAATCTCTTTCCACCTACAGCCCACAGACTTAGTATTAGACCTCATGGATTCATAAAAGACATATAGGATAATAACTTAAAACATGTATTATATCAATTAAAACAGTAAAATTATAATACGTATTCTGCTGTCATTAATAGAAATAATAAATAAATAGAGATAATGTGAACTCAACTGAATAATTGGTTATCACAGATAATTTTATAGTGCTGGAAGCTGTTATGCTTTTTATGCTGCTGGTTAACAAAGCTTTTACTGTAAAATAGAACACTCACTTCTGACGACCAGATCGATAAGAGTGTCGCCATAATGTTTCACAGATTCCACCAGACACTTATACTGTCCATGATCAGAGAGCTTCACATCTGTCAGCTTTAGAGACACATTGCCCCTGGGGAGCTGCTCCAGGAACAGCTCTGTCCTTCCTCTGTAATCTGGGTTCTGTGTGTCAGAGTGATATCTGCGGTTTTGGTACAGGCACACAGGAGCTGCAGAACCCTCAAAAGACCACCTGATTTGTAGGTCCTCAGCATTGATGTCTGGTGAGAGGTAACAGGGCAGGACACTGTCCTCACTAGGTGACACAACAACAGGAGCAGCTGGACCATGAACCTGAAACTTCTCTGAAAGAAAGAGAACAGGCAGTTTGTCACACCCTCTGCAGCCAGAGGGCGCTCCTTCTCTATCCTGTCCCTAGTTTCTGGTCTGCTGTCCTTCCTGTCCCTCTCTTTCCCTTGGGCTATATATTTCCGGGTCTTGCACTCTGTCCTCGCTCAGCATTGACGTTCGGATGTCCTGAGACCCGCCTAGCACCAGGGCGCCCCACGGCCGCTCCCTGAGGGCATAGGTTTCTATACGGCATTCCTGAACTCTTTGCACTATGAGCCCGGGCCTTTTTCCCGTCTCGCCGCTACACATATGGGTCTTTTTCGCTCTCCTGCTCCCCACGGTTAGTCCCTTTGGACGTCCGTGACACAGTTGACATGAGTTTTCAACTTCTACACAGACAAACACACTAAGACCAATCAGAGACAAGGGGTGAAGTGTAGAGTATCAAGGTGCCTAAGCCCTGACCTTTTTTATCAGATGTGAGGTCACAATGCCAGCAAATGTCGCAGATCATTAATTTAGGTCTACTTTAATTAGGATTTTTTTGTAATTGTTGGACTACTTTAATCAAAGTAAACAAAATCTATGCAGGACTATTGACATTATCCATGCAAGGAACATTTCTCATAAAATTCAGCTTTCAACTCCTAACTTCGTTGTAGTCCTTTAGGTACAGTATCCGGAATAGTTTCCATGAAGTCCTTATTTTAACCAAGATGTTTCAGCTCACAGATCATTTAGCAGAAATCTATTTTTCCATTGTAATACTGTGAGCTTGTTGGTGTGCAAAAATCATGCTTTTAACAGTGCTGTCTGACATTCTCAGAGTTTGGTTAGCAGCATATAGGACCTGTATACAGTTCTGGCGAAAATCACATGTATATACTGTATACTGTATTTTATTTAAGTACAAGGTCCATTGATTTCTGATGTAACAAAACTCCTGTGTGACTGAGATGGAATAAAGGTGATGTAGCATAGCAATATCTCTGATTACAGACAATATCTGTAAAGCAACACAGTTCACTACCATTGTATGATTTAGCATGAGATATTGTTCCTGATAAGAGTGGAAAGCTTACCAGATTGAGAAGAGATTCCTGAATTTCATCACAATTGTACTTTACCTGATCTTGAGACAGAGAACAGGAGGAGTAGCAGATTAACACAGAGAACCATTCTGATTGGTAACATTTCATCTCTGAAATAAAGAAACACTCAGATTGGTCAGATGTCTTGTTACAATTAAAATGTTGCCTTAACTGGTCAGATACTGTAACATTTCTGAAATAAAAAAATGATTCTTTAACTGGTCAGATTGCACATCCTATATAAAGCTACTTGGACTGGTCAGAATGCAGAAACACTTAAAGTTGAAAGACTTCACTGAAGTACACTCTCAGAGGGACAGACCTTCTTCAGTACTTCAGTACCTCAGTACTGTGTGAGGTATGTATCACACACTGCAGTATCTGACTGATCTCACTGTCCCTCCAGCACACAGCAGCTTCAGTCCTGACTGACTGATCACTCACACACTGCTGTATCTGACTGA